CATGCAAGTCAATTTCCTGCAAAGAAAGAAATACATACAATTTCATTCTGGGAGTCTTTTCCTCCTCATTGTCCACGTAACGTTGTCAGCTGGATTTAAACTTCTTCCTCCTCCTCTGTGTCTCATACGTCCCGCAGAGCTCTGCGGTGACATCGTGATGTTTGTTTGTTTTTTTTCTTTCGACTGAGCCCCTCGGTCGGCTGCTCCCTGTCTCTGACATTTGTCTGGAAGCCAGTGAAAGCTTTAATGTTCTGCCCCCCCCACGGTTACTGTGTTTCCACTCATTGACAGCAGCACGAAAAACACTGGCACTAATTAGAGATCTCACAGGAATAAACTCAAGGTGAAGAAAAAAACAAAGCTCCTCCCAAATTAATTGGACTGAGACAGTAGTGGTTTGCTGCTGCTGCTGCTGCAAAGAAACATTAGTGGTGTCAATAAAACACAAGAAGTGGTTCAACTTTTGTTTTTTTTTATTTTCTATTTCCCTCTAAACTGGATTTGTATTTATATTGGGCTCTTATGAAATTGTAAAAAAAAATTAAATCTGGTCGCAGGTTTGAGATGATCCAGTGAAAAATATTACAAACAATCAGGTCTGAACTGGTTCTGAACGCAGTAATACACAAAGTTATTTATATATTCACGTCTTCCCACAGGTCACCACTAGGTTAAAGAAATACTTCAGCCAGTTTGGCCACTTACAAATTCTGGGATGAATAATGGAAGCTGTCAAAGCTGCGAGGTTCTTCATTAAATACCACCTGTCACTGCATCGTTTCCACTGGAGGCATTTTTCCACAGCAGCTGTGAAGAAAAATCACATGAAATGAACAACGTGGAGGAGAAACACACATATTTAATCCAAGTCCTGGAAATATATGAATCCTAATGGTGGAGGGCTAATATTCATCATCATGATGTCACTCTCCTGCTGTAAAGAATAATGGAGAAGCCGTTGATGTGACTTCCTGTGACAAACCTGCTGCTTTTCAATCACATCCCACAGACAAAGTGACTGCTTTTTAACGCAAACCTTCTACATCTGTCAGCGGCCTGCAGAGAACAACGTGAGCCGTGAGTTACTAAAAATATTTTTAAGAAAATGAAAGTGTCCATGGTGATGATGAGAAGAGGTAACGGCGGTTAGAACCACGTTTATCTTTGAACAGGCTAAGCTTCGCTAGGGTCGGCCAACCATGTTTGATCCACGTATCTGTTAGGAACCAATGTTTAGAACCACCCATATATAGCCATCCTTCAATTTACTAACAATTCACTCAGTGTTAAACCAGGGCCTGTTTAGTTGAACACAACCCTGATCTAGTCCCAGGAATTGAAGAAAAAAAATCTTTATAACAGCTTTGAGTCCTTTTTTTTGTTTATTTTTACAGCCTCCTACTGCCACCTAGTGGAAGTGTAGTCCACTGCTATGCCTGTCACTGCTTCACAGATAAACAAAAATAATTATTTGCAGTAAAAAAAAAATTAGATTTCAGACCAAATACACAATGACATTTTCACCACTTCCTGTCGTCGTCTTCTGGAACTATTTGTTTGTCAAAGACACATTTTCTTACGGGTACAGAGTCCTTCTGCGTCTACGCGTTACACTTATCTTAAGATGAGCAATAAAAACAACAGTATTATACAGAAGTGAGCCCTGTTCCAGGGAATAAACTCATAAATAATTCATGTCTGTTGTGGCAGCGTGTTTCTAACGCAGTACTGCCTGAGGGCGTGATGCTCTCTCTCCTCGACTCCGCTGAATATTTTTACACTATTGTCAAGAACCAATGGTGACAGCCCTTTAATTTACGCCTTCCACCTATGACGTCGAGCTCCTAACCTCCCTGGGTTTACGGTTGAAGGATCAGGTTGAAATTAAAGGATTGTTGGTTTGAATCCCATCCCCTGTGAGACTAATACAACCAACGCCTCCACCACAGCAGTACAGTGAAGTACAGACCACTGCTGCTTAGTCATCGATTGGTTAAATCACATGTTCTCAAAATGAGGGGGCGGGGGCTCCCCATGGGGTACGGAGCGATTTTCTGTGTTTGTGCCATCGTGGAAATATTTCATTTTATTTTAGATTGTTTCTTTAGAATAGCAGTTTCCTGGGAATTAAAAGGTTTTAAAACTTCGACAACAGTCCTGGTTACAGCTATAATTAGCCATCTTGGCTAACCTTTAGCTAACTTAAGGTTTCTTCTACTTATACTTTCAGGTATTTGCTTACATTTTATATTTTTAAGTTGTTATATTTGAGGTAAAAGAACAACTGGCTTCTACACCATGAGTCATGCTGAGAAAAAAAAAAAAACAACAACCTCAAACTCAGATCAGATCTGTCAGAAGAGGGTGTGATTTACCCGAGGACAAGTTCAGGTGACCTCACCCTTCAGACCCCTCGCCGAGCGCTGCGTCCGAGCCCCACGGCCTCTCCATCCTGCCTCCCACTCTGATCTGCAGCAGAGAAATGGGATAGAGAAGAAAGAAAATCATTGAATTCGAGGCAGATAAAAAAAGAAGTCATTACTGATGAAAGTGGAACGCTACTGTAACTCCGAGATAAACGGAGGAGGAAATCTGACAGTTGGCTGTGCTTAAAATGACGGACGGGAAATGAATAAAAAAAAAAAAAAAAAAACAATTACAGCCGAACCTCAGCTTTTTTATTCACTGGAAAAGTCAGAATAATTACTTGTAAAGATTGGAGCCACAGACAGAGGGGAGACGAACGTTATTATCTTATTGAACAGAAGTGCACTTTTACTGCGTTCCACTCGGCTGCAAACAGATGGAGAGCTGGGAAATTTACTTCACGGGTTTCAATGAAATGAAATGTACTGTACTGTACTGTCGTCTGTTTCCCTTTCTCTTTTCACATCTGAACAGCATTGGATTTTATGGATCCACATCCACAGCGTTTCATCTAAACATGGAGACCTTTTTTTTTCCAGTAATCTAATAGAATAGAATAGAAAGCTTTGATACAACAAAAGTGCTACGTGCTGCGGCTACATGTAGCCCGGCACATACAACGTCTTGTACTGGTGTACTACAGATTTAACAAGTGGAACAATCTTATAATTGCAGGCTAACCTTTAGCACCTTTGGCTAACTTGTAGCTATATCTCAGCTAACCTTTAACCATTCTTATTTTTCATTCTTAACTGCTTGAGACCATTCTTATTTTTCATTCTTAACTGCGTGAGATTTTGTGACCTTAAGTTCCATTCAGCTAACTGCTAACCCCTGGCTGGCAACCATTAGCTAACTGGCTAAATTACGGGTATTTATAGCTAATTTGTAGCTAGCTCCTTCTTTGGTTATCTTTTGGTTACATTTTCGGTTAACAATTAGCATTTTAAGCCAAGTTTTATTTATGTCTAAGCTTACTTCAAACTGCTCATTGTGACCTATGTTAGCTTTAGTAACAGATTAACTAACAATTTTTGGGGCCTGATCGCAGCATTCTTTTTTTTTTTTTTACACCTTTCTGTAACATCACACTCGTCTTAACGCAGTCGATAAACTCATTTAAATTAATCCTCGTCACGTGGATGGCGTCAATAGAAAGAGCTGATATCTGATCCTGAGCTGCTAAACGGGTTGGAACCTGCTGACCGTTGGGTCACGTGACCAGACCTGGGCATGATTCACTCACACACACACACACACACACGCTTCCAGCTGTAGATCACAGCCAACAGTGTCCTCACCCGGGGGGACAGGGTCCATTAAAAAGACCGTTCCTCTGGAAGATCAACCCAGATACAGGAAGTGTGATTTACCGAGCAGCTGGGAGTCAGAGATTTGTGTTTATTGAATTTGTTTTACAGCACATTCGCACACACACTCTCTCTCTCTCTCTCTCCGTCTCTCACTCTCACTCACACTCACACTTGAAGTAGCAGGGCTGGGTCTTCCACCTCTGCTGCCGTCACTACTTCACATATTTCTGATGTCAAACATGCAGCTTCAGCTGGAGTGGCTAATCTCTCTGCTGCCACACTCCTGGTTCACAGGACTCTCTCTCTCTGTGTGTGAATGTTCAGCTGCATCATCACATTTATGTTATATTCGTTTTTAATGCATCATTAAAATGTACTTTTCTGGACTACGATGGAGGGAGGAGGGGGCGATTTAGTGTCAACCACGGAGGATGTCATTTTTTGGCGGGAACCCTGATTTGTGCGGTTGTTGAAAACATATTGCAGTCAGTGTGAGAGATGTCCACAGCCAAACTGATGTAAAGGTGAAGTGCTGCCTCTGCAGAAATAAAAGGCTGGCGTCCCCCTCCCCATACATCACACCCCCTCTAAAACACTGCTGCACAGTGGTGGGGGCGGAGGAAAGATCTATGTCCAGTGGTTCCCAACCCGAGGGGCTACGCTCCTCCACAGGGTGACATAATGAATAACCCGACTTGTAAGATGATTCATGAAGCAAGAAAAAAAAAAAAAATCACACACAGAAACACGGTGTTCCTGTTCACAGTATTCTGTTCAGAATTTGTTCTTTCATTTAATAATATGTTATTTTACATTTTAAAAATGACATTTTGAAAAATGACATATTAATTTTGAATATATTGTACCTTAGATTACCTGATGTGTCAGGTTAACAAAATGTGATTTTTTTTGCAGTGTGGATTTATCTTTTAAACAAATAAAATTATTTTGTCCAAAGAGAAATATTATTGTTATTATCAAATTAAATTAATATTACATTGTTGATGTTACTATTTCTACTGTTTCTACTAATATTAGTATAGAATCCGTCAGCGTTCAGTCTCTTTATATAGATAACCACTGCCCTCTGGTGGTCAGATGTGGCAATGAACCTTTCTGTATAGTTGCAGATGTGATCAATTCGATTTTCAGATGTGTTTGTGTTTGGTGTTCACTTACGTAGGTTGGTGTTGAGATTCGGTTTCAGGTGTTCCGTGGTTTTTCACTCCGTCTGGACTGGACCGGGGTCATCCCTGAACAAGCGGGAAAATATTATTACAAATGGGATTTCGGTGGGTGTAGAGATGGACAACTGCAGAAATGAGAACATAGACGATACTCTTCATCACCGAATTATAATTTCATTATTAGTGAGCAACATATACCAGTCCCCTCTCCAGGAGGGTCAGGGGTCAGGGTCGCAGAGTCCCGGAGACTTGTGGTTAATTATAATAATTAAATATGAGGTTCTGTTTAAATGAACGAATGTCTGGACCTGCTCCGTGTTAACAAGAACATCTACCCAAAAGCTGAGTGTTCTGGCTGAGAGAGAGAGAGAGAGCGAGATGAAAAAAAAAAGAAGAAAAAAAAAATCTCTTCACGCTTTTGCATGTGACGCATGCGCACTCAGGAATCCAACTGGCTCGCGTTAAGTCGAAGCAGACGGACGTGATCGAGCCCCCCCCAAACAATCACCTGTATTCTGGCATTCATGGTGACACAGTGAGTACAGTTTTTACCTTTAAGTTGATTTAGAAAGAAATGTTGTTTGTGAATTTTTGCGAACGCGGAAAAAAGGGGGGGGTTTCTTTTTTTGCGCATTTTATTTTGGAGAACGAGGCGGATAATAATTTCTTCAGCATCCAGTAAAACTGCAGCATCCTCATCCAGATACTCCAGACAACAAACATACAAGGATTTACTCTGCATTTCTCCACACATGTCCATCGTGCAGCAGAATAGTAATGAAAATTTAAAAAAAAAAACGCGGTGTTTTGCTGTTTTTCTAGTCTGGACAGAAGAAGAAGAAGAAGAAGAAGAAGGAAAGAAAAAAAAAATCATCATCTGACCGCACAGTAAATTATCAGTTTTCCAGATCAAATAATTTCATTATGCCTCTGTAAATGGCCGCATGCTGCTCGGTTCGGGCTGAATCGACCAGCATCGTGTGTCTCTGTGTGTGTGTGTGTGTCTTCATCCGACGGAGGATGAGACTCATGGATGCGATTACTGCTGGAGTAAAACGCCTTGTCGCTCACATACAAGCAGAGAGGATGAGGATGAGGCTGCTGATGCTGCTGCTGATGCTGCTGCTGCTGCTGCCCCCCCCCCTCCTTCCCTCATCAGAAGTCATATTTCTACATCCAACCCGCCCACCTCTCTGTGTCTTGGTCCCAGAATACTATTAACGGAGGCCGTTTCTGTACGTAACTTGACCCCGTGCGTCACGATGCGCACTTCATGTCCGGAGCCGCGGCTTCAGAATAAAAAAAAAAAAACACACACACACACGGACGTGACGCTGTGTCAGTGGGACGGTGCAGGCCTCCTCTGGTCCTGTCCCTGTCCTCATCTCCTGCCATGTCTCCGACTGTGATGTTTGGGTGATACTTCAGCTTAATGCGGTATTAGTCTTCCACTGACCCCCTCCTCCTCCTCCTCCTCCTCTCCTCCTCCTCTCTTTTCATGAACTTCTCCTCCACCTCCTCACCTCACCTCAGTCCATGGGCTCAGAGCGGGTGGAGATGCGAAAGAGACAGATGCAGGTTCATCAGGAAGCAGCTGCCAGTGTCCTCCAAGCCAGCCAGAGAATGGGAAACACCCCGGCCAACGCCTCCAACGCCTGCTGCTTCTGCTGGTGCTGCTGCTGCAGCTGCTCCTGGTAATGACACCGCTGCACTCCTGGACAGGGACAGGGACAGGGACAGGGACAGGGACAGGAAGCAGAGACATTCGCACTCAGAGTTCATATGATTAGCACTCGTGGGCAGGTGTGGTCCGGTCCACATGGATCCCGGGGACCGGGCCCTGTGTGGGTCTCAAATGTCAAATGAGCTTGTAGCCCAGATTCACATTCCAAAGCCATACTTGGGCCAAATAAATTGGGCCAGACGTGGACTAGGAGTGTGTTGTGATGCATCTGAGATTATTCACAGAAAATGTGTCAATTTCATTTTAAAAGTCTTTACAGTCAGTTTGCGGCAAACTCTAAAAAAAAAAAAACACAAAAATATAACATGTAGAACCAGGTGCATCTTTGCCTGTAGGTGGCGCTGCCTTCAAGCTATTGATCCACTTTTGATTGATTTTTTTTTTTAATGGAGAGTAATGTCATGACTCCAACTATTTTTTTTTTGCCCCCTTTCTTACACACAGTGAACAGAACAGCAGGTTCTCCGTGGTCCTGTGACCCACACTGGCTCTGATTGGTCGAAGAGAGAGCCACATGTTTTCAATTTTTTGTTTTGGACTTATGAGTTTGGTTACCCTGTGGTGTTCAGAGCAGTTCATTCACTCCACCGGGGGAAGATAAAAGGTTCTTTCTAATTGTCGCGCGGCCACAGCGGCCACTCTCCCCAGATGGGGGCGGCTCACAGCGGACTCTCACCTGAACCAATTAGTGTGCAGCCAGCTGCTCCATCAGGTGTTGGGAACATTTTAATTACAGGCGGGGATTCCCTCGGGGCCGGGTGGACAGTTGACACACTTTACTAAATATGTAAACAGTCTCTGTGGATTAGAGCGAACTGAAGGAGCAAGCCGCGCACAAACAACCCGAGGCACAGTAGTACCTGTTCTCAGTAATACTGTAATACAGAAGTGCGTAGTACTGATGAGAGTATAAATTACATACACATATATTTACATATATATGGATGTATCAAAATATATATTTATATACATACATATCTCAAAGGGCAATTTAAAGTGGGCAACTGGACCTGAATATCCATAAATATATACACATATATATACTGTATGTACATATATATAAATACACATACATAAATATATACACATATGTGAATATAAATATGTATAATTACATATATACATATATTCACATATATACACGTATATATTCACATATATACGCATATATACACATATATACACGCATATATTCACATATATACACACATATGTGAATATATGTGAATATATATATATGTGTGTTGGTGTTAGCTGTGTTAAGCTCACTCACAGATCTCTCCTAGTTTGACCGTCAGAAGCGAAGATGAAACGATCCAGAGGACGACCTTCGAACGCAGGACTGAGGGAACGACCAACTGTGAAGAAAAGTAATTGATGAGTTTTAACTTTATTATTTATTCATTTTTATTTAACAAAAGCATACGCAAATTCCTCCTGAGATTTCTAGAAGAATAACAACGGTAACCTGTGTGTCCCAGCCCAAAGCCTTCTCGGGAGGACGCCCTCTCCTGGGGCATTTCGTTTGAGAGGGTGATGAAAAGCGCGGCCGGTCGCAACTGTTTCAGACAGTTCCTGCAGACGGAGTTCAGCGAGGAGAACATGATGTTCTGGCTGGCCTGCGAGGAGCTGAAAATGGAGACCAACAAGACCGTGGTGGAGGAGAAGGTCAGGCAGATATACGAGGACTTCATCTCCATCCTGTCGCCTAAAGAGGTGAGGAACGTCAGGCAGGTTTCAACCCCTGGCTCAGACCCACGGATGTGTACCACACAGGTACTCATCTGTGGGTCATATTACTAGGCCACAGAGAATCAGGAATATTATTTGCATTTAATATGAAAATGCTCTTTTTTATTTAAGTTACAAGTCCCTGACCCACGGATGTGTACCACACAGGTACTCATCTGTGGGTCATATATTACTAGGCCACAGAGAATCAGGAATATTATTTGCACGTAATATTGAAATACTCTTTTTTATTTAAAAAAAAAAAAAGTTACAAGTCCCCAGTTACAAACGCCTTTATACGTTAAAATACTTTTCAAAATAAAAGTCCTTTGAGTGCTTTGTTAGTAATATAACTTTTGTTATATTTTGAACTGAACAACAAAAAACTAAACTTTTTAGTTTACTTACTTTAGTTTACTTTTTAGTTTTAGTTTTTTTGCTCTTCCTTCCTCCTCCTTTTTTTAGTTTTTTAAGTTTTTTTTAATATAACATTTGTTATATTTTGAACTGAACAACAAATAATACCCAATTAAAATAATTAGTGAAGAGTGCAATTAAAAGAAAAGCTGGTGCAGCTAACAACAACTGGCCTTAAGCCGGCGGTTCCCAAAGTGGGGAGCAGGGTCCATTTGAGGGGCAGGCACAGAGAGGAAAGAAAGTCAGTCATATCGTGGATGTAGAAACCACTGCTTCTTCAAATCAACTTTCATTTCCTTCTTCCTGATTGGACCCTCTCTCCCCATCCTGTCCTCCAGGTCAGCCTGGACTCCCGAGTCAGAGAGGTCATCAACCGCAACATGCTGGAGCCCACCTCGCACACCTTTGAGGACGCCCAGCAGCAGATCTACACCCTGATGCAGAGAGACTCGTACCCTCGTTTCATCAACTCCACGACGTACACAGATCTGCTGAAGAGCCTGGAGGAACCTTCTCCTCCTCCTCCTCCTGCTGCTGCTACTCCTGCTCTTCCTCCTCCTCCTCCTGAGCCATAAACTGCTGCTGCCCACACACAATTACACACAATTACACACACACACACAATCTTAGCTTTTATAAAACGGCGCATGCGTCCCACCAGAAAGGAGTTGTTCCTGTGTTCCTGCCGATGGGAGTCGTGGTGTTTAGAGAAAACTTCTATAACTTAAACCCAGCTGATCATGTTCCCACCATTGACCGACCAAAACCCATGGAGCAACAAGAACAAAGGCTTGGTCCAGCAAGAACAAAGGCTTGCACCAGCATCAACCCCCCCCCCCCCGCCCTAGTTTGAAGACATATCTATATTTTTATATAATCCCTCGCTCTCAACGTTGCACTTTTTTTACCTTGTTCAGTGAGGAAACGCATGCATCCGTGGGCACCACATCCGTCTTTAGCTCTGTGGCGAACCTCTGTCATATCCACTTCTCGTAGAAACCAGTAAATCTTTAGCAGTGAGTGGCAACGATGACAACGATGACAACGACGACGACGAAGGAGGAAAGTGCCTTGGAGTAAGATCCTCTACACGACAGGTGCGACCACGACATCACATGTTGGTGCTTTCAGCTCTTCTCAAAGACAAACAAACATTTTTACAGTCGGAGCGTCGGAGTGAGCTGACAACCCCGGGGAATAGATGGTCTGTGTGATTAAATACTGTGATATTAGTCATGAATATGTTTCATTTACAAACAACAGGGAAGAAAAAATATATAACTCAATACATGACCATGATCACTGATATATATATATATATATGAATATATATATTTATGTATTTAAAATATAAAGAATCGTGTGGAATAGCTATTTGAATTCTCACCACTTAAATAAAGCACAATCATGTTGTTTCCTGATGTTGTGATTATTCAGAAATGTTAGGCCAGTGTTGCTCAAGTACTGGGCTGTGGCCCAAATATGGGGAGCAGGGATACATTCTGTGGACACTTTTAGCTCAGGACAGAATTCAGACATTATGTTATTACCTTTGTTGTCCAGCAGGTGTCCTACTAAACACTACAGGGTATGAAATGAGACTTTTAGGTTCCGTTTTCAAAACTCAACAAAACAAAACATATAAAACTCGACCTCACGCTGATGTCATCGAGTCAACCGTACCTACCAGCAGAAGAACACGTTGAATATTTGAAGTACAACAAAGAAAAGTAACAGTTACACGAGACCAGTTCTCCATGTTTCTTCGTGCTTCTAAAAAAAAAGACCACAGCAGTTATTATCCTTTAAAACAAGAGGCCATTTATTTTAAGATATTCAGTATTAAATCATAGAGAATAGCCCTAGTTGTAGTTCAATACATAGGTTCCTGCAGGTGATGATGGCTTTGTAATCAAGCGACTAAATGTAACTCTACGGTAGAACTGAGATTCCTCTGTGTGTGTGTGTGTGTGTGTTGCCCTGGGTCAGGATGCAGCATCGGTCCAGTCATGCCATGTTCAGCATTCCCGGTCTGGTCTGGTCTCTAGTCTTATTATGACCCGGCTCAGCAGCGTGGTTTTTTTTTTATTGTCAAGTTCTGGTCGGTCCTGGTTCCTCCAGTCCACTGAGTCTTGGTTCCAGGAGACTCTGGTGGAGCTGTGTGCGATTGTGCAGATGGGCCTGAGTTCATTCGTTGCCCAGTGGGGGCAGCTGCTTCTCTATGAACCTCTTGATGTCCATCATTTCCTGAAAAAGAATAAGGAGAAGGAGGAGGAAGAATGAAAAGACCTGACCAGCAGCCCAGTCCTGTAACCAGGAGAATAAAACTAGAAAAGGAAGTACATAGATCGGTCTTCCTGACACCGACCTCTGGGCAGGAGCTGTGGTCCAGACCAGGGTAGGGCTTGAAGGTGATGTTGGCGGGATTCATGAGCGCCTTCATCATCTCCGCCGTCTGGCTGCCAAAGGCGAAGGGCACCAGGGGATCGGCAACTCCGTGACATTGGAAGACCGGCATGTCCTTGTTAGCACAGTTGGCAGACGCCTGACGACAGAGGAGATTCGTGTTAATCCTGTCAGATTTTAATCTGGGCAGATTTTAATCCGATCATAAATCTACCTGAGGAAAAAAAAACTAATTATAAACTAATAAACTAAACTAATTTTGAACTAATGGGATTACTAACAACAAATTTTGATTTACGTTAATATGAATTGAAGTTTAAAGCAGTGGTTCCCAAACTGAGGGAACTATTTGTTCCCTCAATTTGTCCTGATTTGTTATCTTTAAATAAAGCTCAGCTGAGTTTTGTAGTATTTTTCGTATTATCTACAAAAGGGGGCGCTGCAGAAAAAAGAAAGAGAACCACTGCTTTAATCTTTAGTCTAACATTTTGGTCTGAAGAGAAATGTTTTAAAAAAAGAAAACAACCTGAAATTATTCATTAATTTAGTGGAAACAAAGTTAGAACCTTCTAATGAAAGTATTTAAATCAATGAATTTTAAAATTGTTATTTTCATAAACAATGGATTACTGTTTCACATACATATCTCGGAGGAAGTAAAGCAGAGTGGAGTCATGGCTTTACCTGAGGGAAGGAATTCCGCAGAGGAAGCCAGCAGCTCAGAGCCACTACTCCGGCCAGTTGCTGCTGAGTTGTCAGAGCTGTATAGAGAGACAACGCTCCACCCTGGAAAGAAAAAAAAAAAACATGGACCAAAATTCCAAAGTCCCTTCAACTGACGGACGTCAACGTGCAGGAAATCATGACAGAACAGACAGGGTGGAACTGCAGCTTTCTTTTTTTTTTCTCTCTCGGCTGATGCTGCTTCTCTGGTATTTTGAGATTTGTCCTCGGTTGATGTAACGTTATGCTTATAGGCAGCACTGCAGACCAGTGTCAGTGTGTGTGTGTGTGTTGTTGTTGCTGCTGCAGAGCTACTGTACAGCAGCACATCACAATGCTGTGCAAACAACAAACACAGCAAAGACTCTGCTCTACACCAGACACATGACCATCATATGATAAGACAGGAGTTCCAGAAACAGGGATTCCTATGAAGTGTCTGTCACTGAGAAAGAAATGTCTTCTGTCTGAGTCTGACCAATGAAAGCTGCTCACGATAAAAAGCTTTTGTTACAAATGGAGAGTATTTTGATCCAAATGACCCTGACCACTGCAGATCTGACACTGGAGTCTACTGTCATCTGACACTCAAAAAAAAATTTCACGTAAGTCGTGATCTGAACACGTGCCACACTAACCTGCGAGAAGCCTCCCAGGATAATTCTGTTTGAAGGTATTCCATTTTTCACTTCCTGGTCAATCAAGGCTTTAACTGTAGGTCAGGTCAAACACAGAATGAGTTAAAAAAAAACAAAACAACCAAAATTAACCTAGAAAGAAAACCTAGTTGTACTTTTTTTTTTAAACTTTGTTTTAAAGACCTACTGTTGTCTGACGCTCTTTTAATCCCAGCTTCATCTTCCTTTGCATTATGATACTGATCGTGAATATCGAACCTTAAGTAAATTAAAAAGAAGAAGAAGTGACAGTTAGTGTTTCAGTGACTGTGAATCACTCAGTCTGTTGAAATGAGGTTTAGTGTTTCAGTGACTATAACTCAGTCTGTTGAAATGAGGGCAGTTAAACAAACACTCACCAGGAAGGCATGGGGAGCCTCATGTTTAAAGTGACAGGCATGGTGGGGCTGTAATAAGAACAGACGGGGTTTAATCACAAGAAAGGACGATAAAAACAATCATGAATGTCTCAAAGAAGTCAAAATAAAACTGAGGAATATTTAACTTTAGCTCCACCATTTTTTGCTTTTTTCATTTTTATAACATTCTGTGTGTAACGTTGCACCAATGTGTGAATACATACGCATGTGGACAGATGTATTTCACGTGAGGTATCCTGATGCCGGCGAGACCATCCGCCCAGCCATGTCTGTCAAAATGAACAACACATTACACTACAATAAAATACAACAATTTAAGGACAAAAGGACAAAGTGATTTTTTTATTTTTGCCTAGTGATTAACCTAAAGGGAACAGGTCGCTGTTACAGATAAAGAATTCACAAATATTCTACACAAATATATACATAATAAGTAACACATAAGTAAATAAACCAGACAGTAGCTGGGTATATTCCAGTTTTTTACAGTGAAACCAAATGTTTAACACTTATTATTAAAGCTGAAGTTAAACAAATGTAAACTTCTGTTGGTTATTTTGACTCTGAACCCAAATGTATAAAGACAAATCTTGTTTTTGCACCAGTACCAGGTTAAAAAAAAGTCTGGGTCGATACTACACTTGGAGCGAGATTCGATATCAGTAAACCACAGCACTATCAGGACATTATGATCCAATTCTGTGGGTAACACGATCGTTGTAGACAGACAGTTTATGCAGCAATGAAAGTATAAAACATCTTGTTGTCACATACCCAGAATCACCAAGACCGTGCAGGAATATCACCTGTAAAACAAACAATGAGCAGGTACGTAAGCGATTAGCTGGTTTTGTACGGCGTATAAGGAGATTATAACCGGCAACTAAGCGGTGAATGTGGTTCTATGGCTCTATATAAATCCTGAATGGACTCACCGCGGCTGTAGCTTGGCGGGCAGCAGGCACAATGGCAGGTAAAGGAGCTGACATGTTGTTGCCGCACATGCAACGTTAATGCACCTCAGATACACAGCGCAGTTAGCTTCAGGAAGCTAACAACCGCACGGCTACAACTCGACCCGACTACAACTACTACTACTTTCACTGTCGGTTGTTTAACCCCGCTGGAAGACGAATGTCGACCCAAAGACGATGAACGTCGCGTCCACGAAATGTCGCCCCCCGCTAAATTATCGTAAATCAATTTCCAAGAAGTTAAATGTAGTGTAAAAACAACACTACACCCTGTTAGCGTAAACCTCAACCCGCGAGGACGTTATTCATTGTCCTACCCCTCTAGTCCCGCCTTTTTTCACGTGAGTGGCTAACGTCGGCGTCACTACACAAATGTGGATCAACGATTGGTTCGCTGAACTGTCAATCAAAAAATCAGCTTTGATACAAAATAAGCTTTAGTTCGCTGAACTGTCAATCATAAAATCAAAAAATCAACTTTGATACAAAATGAGCTTTAAAAAAATCCTCAGCAATGAAGCGGAACTTGTGTATACTAAGAAAAAAAAAAGAAAAATTGTACGATTTATTTAACAAACACATTCCAAAAACATTTAAACAACATAAGAGTACTTAATGACGAGGCATCATGTAAAGACGAGTAATAAAACATTCTACTACGTTTCGACAAAATAAAGAAACCGTAATTCACTCAAATGTTACACGATGTGTATTTAAATTACATTCTATTTAAAAACACCAAACAATACCACCCGCTTCCCTTTCTGTACTAAGCTTTTAAAAAATATAAGCCATAGTTAGAAAAAAAAACAAGTATCTTGTGTAGTGGTTTTACTTTGAAAATACGTCGAGCCGAACATAAATACTTCCGTTCACCCCTGTCACGTGACCTCTATGTCCTTGGTTCAGCTAACTTTGACATGTGAGCACTTGAAACATGTCTATCCCTAGAAAACCTGGTGGAAAAGCGTTGGATGTTTTGCAGAACCTTCCTCGGATAACTTTGGGAAATCTGCGTCCCGAGCCGGGATCCAAAACCACGGTACGATGTTTGATTGTGGAAACAAATTGTCATTATCTGCAGGCGCTTGTAAGCTAATGAGGCTAGTTAGCCAACTTTAGACTGTAAATTAATCAGGATTTTGGTGTTTTCAGCCTAGAATACGAGGCAGAGGACAACATGGTGGAAATAAAAGCGGTCGCGGACATACAGGAGAGAGGCAGAGGGGCACCCGACCTCGACTCGGTTTCGAGGGTGGTCAGACTCCGTTCTACCTGGTGATTCCTAAATATGGCTTCAATGAAGGACACAGGTAACTCGTGATCGACTGTTTGTTGACATTTTAGACTTGAGTATTTTTGTTATTTGGCAACATGCTTTATTTTATACAAAGTTCCTGAAACAATCATTGTAGGTGTTTTGTAGTCATTGAATTGTATGTTTTTTATTTTATTATTTTATTGTATAATTGTGCATAAAAATGAATGAAAACCAGCCATCCAAGGAGTGAGTTTTTGCTACTTTTCCCTCAGATACTTCAGTTCTCTATTTATTCATATCCCTACCAGCTCATCTACAGGGAGCAAGGATGTCAGAGTGCTTCCTACTTTTTTATTTCTTTTCTTTTTTTTAAAAAATGGTGTAAAGGTATGGAACAGAGTGTTGTTTAGTAAATGCTTGCCCTGTTTTTGTCTCTTTTAGTCGTCGTCCTCAGTACAAGCCGCTGACTTTGAAACGTCTGCAGTACTTGATCGACTTGGGTCGAGTGGACACGTCCCAACCCATAGACCTGACCCAGCTGGTCAATGCCAGGGGGGTGGATATACAGCCCCTGAAGAGGCACTACGGAGTCAATCTTGTAGATGAGGTATTAACAACTCAACTGTCAAATACACACTACGGAGTCAATCTTGTAGATGAGGTAATTATTATTAACAACTCAACTGTCAAATACACTAGACACACTGACTAGAAACACTGGTTCATTTTTAACCTCATTAAGTAATTCTGTTCACTGGTTCATTTTTAACCTCATTAAGTTGTAAAAAAATACTAATACCAAATACTACTTCTAGTGTAATGTGCAAAATATTACATTTAAAGCCTGAATTTCTATAGTCATAAATATAAACAAATTGAGTAACTAGTGGTTACTGTAAGGGAAGAAACACACGCCTGTTTTAGACTGCTCATTTTGCACCAGTAGGTGGCACCACATGACTGCTGTTGGCGTCCATCAAGTTGCCTTTGACCCTTGTTCTTCTACATTGGTCCAGACAGAAGACACGTTTGACTTTGTATTGTGTTGTTCTGCAGGGCGCAGATAGTTTTGCTGCAAAAATCAACATCGAGGTTCAGAGAGCGTCTGAAGGAGCCATCGCTGCTATTGAGAGGAACGGCGGCGTCGTCACGACCAGCTTCTACGATCCCATAACTCTAGGTAAAAACTGTTTAATCTGGTGCAGAATCACAGCTCAACTCTGTTTAAATGAAATGTTGAAATTCATACTTTATATTTCACAGCTATCCTTATTAAGCCCGTGCCGTTCTTCATGCGTGGGCAGCCTATCCCGAAGCGCCTGCTGCCAGGAGAGGACATGGTCCCGTACTACACAGGTGCCGAGAACCGCGGCTACTTAGCAGATCCGGAACAAATCCAACAAGCCCGACTGGCACTGGCCAAGAAGTACGGTTACATTTTACCAGACATTTCGAAGGATGAACTGTTTCACATGCTGTCCACGAGGAAGGACGTCCGGCAGATCTTCTTTGGCCTGTCTCCAGGATGGGTTGTCAACATGCCGGAGAAGAAGATCCTTAAGCCAACAGACGAGAAACTGCTGCGATATTACAATTCCTAGGAGTGCAGAGTGAAACATGTTGATTAATGCATCTTAAAATCAGCAAAAAGACTGCTATTCTTCTCTTTTATATATTAAAAACAACAAAAATGTACTCTGTCCATAGTGATGTCATTAAAATGTGTCTCTAACAACACATGTCCTGGTATGTTTGAAATTGCTGTTTTGTGCGGCTAACGTCATGGAGCCCCCCCACTCCGGCACGTCAGAGCAGTGTGGCCCGGTGCTGCACGATGGAAGGAACGTGGACAGTACCAGGTGAGGGGGAAACCAGGAAAATAAGATAACTCAAAGAATGAAAACAGGAAACAGATGCCTGCTGATGTGTTCTACTTGTGAAATGTGTTGCCTGGGCCTCGAGAAGGGGCGTTAGAAATGAGTCATGGGCAGCTGTATCCTGGTGTGGACGTTCAAAAGGCCCTTGGCCCCCTGTTCACAGTACAATCACAGGCGAACGTGTGTGTATACAACGCTGCCTTTTCAAGTGTCGCTCGATGACATGAAGAAATATTTAGGTCTGGATACGTATTCAAAATATTTAGACTTTGAATCAACGTAAACACAAATAATGGCTAAAAATATAGTGAGGACATGAAAGATTTCAAGGAAGTTTTTTTTTTTAAATAAAAAATAGAATTCATCAAACAATGGAATATACAAAGTTGGCATCACAGGAAAAAAAAAAAGGGCATTGGTAACAAAACACTAGAGCTGCCGTAGGTCAGTCCAGAATTAAAGCAAAATATCTGAAAATACAGCAAGTGAAGTGGGCACGAAAGAAAATGGAAAAGAGCTAAATATATTTCATATAAAATATATGAAGTACATATATTTGAATATATATTGACATATATTTATATACATGTCAAGGGTTTATGTGTATATGTATATATACACATATACTGTACATATATTAAATATATAAATAAATATATATGTACAGTAAATACATATATACACATATCACAGGTAATTTAGACAGTACACTAGGACAGAACTTTTTATATATGTACCTACACAGGTATATATGTATATACGTACATATATAAATATATAAATATATTACATATATACACATTTCACATCAGTAATTAACAGTACACTAGGACAGAACTTTTTATATGTACCTACACACATGTATATATATGTATAGACGTACATATATAAATATATAAATATATATTACATATATACATATTTCACATAACTAATTAAGACAGTACACTAGATCTTTTATATATATATATATATATATATATATATATATACCTAGACATGTATA